ATGAATAATTTAACACGCATAAATCTTACATTAAATAAGACACAATGAGTTTTTAAATGTACGAGAATGGTACCTACATGATATAATTAAACTACGCGTTTTATTTTTAAATTTATGTCAGAACATTTCGCATACATCCCAAAGTGAGCAATGGTGACTCCTCCATGAGTGGTGGACAAGGGTTCCAAGAATAATTTATTATTTTATTATTTATGGGCAAACGGCAATAACGAAGAAAACCTTCCCGAGAATGTTGACGTTCATTGTTCGGTAACATTATTTCATTTGTATTTTGTTTTAACATCAGTACGTTGGTTGACGATTATTAATGATAGATTTATGATTTCATTAACTGAAAAGTATTTTTTTAAAACAATAGTGTTTTAACATTAGTCCTTATAAATTTTGAAATCCATGTTGCATTTTAAATGTATTATTCTAACTGGAAAAATTATAATTCGACCAATTATAACTTTGTTAATCTTACATAGCGGAAAAGTCGACATCAAACCTATCAAGGATAGAAATGAAAACGAAGGAATTCTTCAAAAAAGGAGGAGAAGATACGAAGACTTTTTTTAAGCTTTGAATTTACAGCAGGTATCAAGGAGATGTTTTAAAGAATCATGTTGAATTGTCTCGCTTCCAGACTAGATGACGTTCAGCTCCCCGAACAAGCCGGGAAAAGGTTTCAGTACCATAGGGCATCTATATTAGGGCAGATTAAACACAAGACCGAGGAGTATAATGTGTGTGAGTATAATGTGCCTTCATGTCTGGCGTATGAAAAATCATACGATTCTGTGGAATTTAGGGCGATACTCCAGGCCCTTCAGAAGTGTTTGTATTAGAAGGCTACGATAACCGTCCGAGTACAGCCCAGTACTATTAAACCTATCCAACTGCAGTCACCGCTACATTGCAAGATGTTTACAAACTTCTGGATTGGAAAGGTCGTTGAAATGACATCAATAGCGAATACATCACCCGCATTTGATTTGCGGACGATAGGTATAGTCATGGCAGAATTGCTGGATAGCTTTGGTTTTTTTATGTGATAAGTTGCCAAACGAGCTAGCTAGTCTAGCTCCTAAACGTCTTCTAGGGCCATTATGTAATATTTCCGAGCACTAGAAGTTTTTTGATGAGTATGTTTACCTAGGCTAATCAGGCTGGCTACGTAAGTTCAATTTCAACGCAGAGGTCAATCGGAAAATTCAACTCGGACACTGGACAGCATGCGGGAAACCTCTGGCAAATCTTTTCTTAAATAAAAAGCAAGAGCTACAAATGCAAAAATCAAAAATCACCAAAAAAAGCTCATAAAGTTAAGCAATGTCGAAAACGTGATCCCAGTCCAGTAGTAGAGCCGGCACCTTCTTTATTGAAAATTGGATTGTTTTTTATCTCAACAGCCTCGCGAATAGTTCTTGGTGTTCATTTCCGAGAATTTGTGATCAATCAAATCTGGGTTTTTTTGTAATGTGTCCTCATACTGCATACTACATGATCTCATATTTCCAATGTCGTCCGTAGTGTCGTGATTCCTAGACGCAACGTACATAGCCAGTTATCAAAAACAACCAAATTGCATGATGTATACATAATAAGTTACAGCGTGTTGAACTTTACTCAACGAAATACGGCACATAAGTTGAATAATTCAAGATAAATTGCTTTGTACAAAGACGCAAAACATTACGTTGCGCATCACAGTGTAGACTAATCACTTTTCAACTTGACTCCTACTCCACAACGGTTTCGAGGGACAGTAGACACCATAATGTGGAGTGTAAACATTGTGAAGGCGTTAGCCATGTCTGGCGTCGTTCCAACAGAAAGTTTCCTACTTCGAGACCTGATTGCAGGTCGCTTATTGAGCAATTTGTTTGAAATTATGTTCTACTTGAACTTACTGGGTAAATTACACTCCTTAACGTTGTTCCGAACGTTTGAACTTTCAGTGCGGCATTATCTCGTTTCTAAGAGTACTATGTTCCTTCTAGCAATTGCTCATTTCGCAATTCGAAAAGTAAACGTCTTACATTTATTTATACTTACCTTAATTCTTTCTTATACACATTATCTAGAGAATTCTTGTCTTCAATACTACTTGTGATATTCACGATGGTAGGTATAATGGGATGGTCTAACCATGACTGCTGTAAATTTTAACTTTCGCTGTACATTTTCTAATTGTTTCTGAGAAGTTACCCCATGAGAGCTAAACCGAACCCAATGCAGAAAGAATTTTGAAAATTAGTTCATAAATGACGGCGTTCTGAGGTAACAAACATAAAATAATTACAACCAAAATCTGTACCTCCTCCTTTTTGAAGTCAGTTAAAAACAAATTAAATGTACTTTCGTTTTAACATTTATTTTGCACATAAGATCGAGACTGTAATACAATGTTCAGATTATAATTTCAGATAATATTCTACTTGCGTTCAAATTAAGACCGTGAACGAACTATGCAATTGAAATTTATTTTCACGTTGAAAACTTTTGTATCCATTACGTAACTGTTTCGCACGAAAGCGCTTTCAGAGCGAAGCGCGACTTTACTAACAAGCGATGTTCGCTGCGCTTGTGGAAAGTAACGAGCGTGGTTTACGTGTTGTATCGCTCCGTAGAGGGCCAGGCGAACGCCGGACGTCTGCACGAAGATTTTAATTACGTGTAAATTGCATTTTTTTTTATAAAAAAGGGTTTGCTTCAACTGTTTAACGGATTTTATTCCATGTATTTTTCTCAACACATGCCGTTTCAGACTTAGGGCAATTCTTGGAACCTGAAACAAACACAAAAATATCGGTAAATATACTTCAAATGTTACTGTGGTATCACCACTCAAAATTTTATTGATCAACATATACCCTTCGCTAGTAAACCTATACATATACCAATGGGTTTGCTTGGATATGAATCTAAAATATCTCGTGCCGGTGTTTTCCAATACTTCAGAATAAAGGCGTCATTGTTATATATATGTAGATAAAATTTTCTTCTCGTAACCACTCACGTGCTCATATCATCCAAATTATATCATGAGAATTATACACATGAGATAACTCTCATACATAAATTTATAATATTAAAAAAAATTGCACGTGGAAATTATAAACTTTGACTAATATATTTCGACGACAAAAATCTGTAGAGAGAAGATTCTGCAAAATTAATCATAAACTTTTAGCCCCGACGAAAGAAGTTTTACTTCAAACTATCGTTACTTACGAGCTCGGCACACTGCTGAATACCAATCTATTAAATTCCAAGATGCGATCCTAAATTCTTTTGACTTTAACATTGTTACAATTTTGAATATCAATCACAGTTCAAATGATTAAAAATATAATTACATTGTTCTACGAAATATGTCCACCATCCTAAAAATTCTTTAATTTTTAAGTTTTATATTTTATTAAATATTTTGCTTTGTTTTCATAGTCATAGTCATGATCAGTTTGTTTAAAGATGGTTTAAATTTTTTCCATTAATTGTACACGCGAGCTCGATGATTTTTTAAATCTAAACAGCAAAAGCTCTAAAGGCAATCGCTATTACGACAATCATAAAACGTTAGCAATAGAATTCGTACTTTTAAAATAAAATTCCAGTGGCTGTCTGAACCCTGCAGAGCCTATTTTAGCATTAACATTCCTACGGTACTTAAGCGTCTCGTAATGACGAAGCATTTAAATACAACAATAGAAACATTCGCTCATTTGAATAAATCATTGAACAACATCGTGTCGCTATTATTCACGGCATGTATATTTTTATTACAAGTGAGACCAAACACTACAGTGTGATCATTTTATATTAATAGAGAATTGATCCTATATAAGGAACAATGACATCATGTTCGCCATGTACAGGGTGTAGTGATTACAAAGAGATTGATTGATACATTCATAGCATCTTTGAATGGATGAATGAATATACCTTATTGCACACCAAAAATGAAACAAACAAAATTCAAAAACTTTATGTATAACATGGGTGCAATGCCTTATTACTAAAAGTAATTTCTTCCAGGCACCCTTTGGATGGACTAAAAACATCTAAAACATAAATAAACATCTTTGTGACACGTTTCACATTTAAAAACAATTCTTCCTTTTTTCTTTCTGTGCTTTATCAACAATTTACTAAATACGTATGTCATCCATTAACGTTTAATGATTGGTATCGCCAGTTTTGTGCTTTGTTGTTGTCTCTTGTAAACCTTCTCACCCTAGACTATCAACAAATGTAAACATTGGTTTTCGCATTGGCCGGCACTAAACTCTGTCGATGTTCTAGTTTAACCGCTATAAGATAATGCATGTAAACTAGAACAGATCAAAATTAAAGCGTATTCCTGCTTACACGGAAGGCCTTGCTGATAATTGTAGATCTCTGACGGATACCGAATTATTAATCATACCTCGCTACGTTGTAATAATACTAAATAGCCGAAAAGCTACCAATGCAACCGACACTAAGCATTAGAACGATTTATATTATTTATACTGTGACAGAGCAACTGTTTACAAGAAACCCTGCTACACGACAAGTCTTGATATAAATGAATCCATACTTCTGCATGGCTAAACTGCAGCCAATATTCTCGATGATTGTCAACAGGCCCAGTGAATCCAGTTTTAAACAGTAACACAATTAACATATATGATTTTTTTTTCTTAAAAGACTGTTAGTAGTCTATTCTTGCAAGAGCGTTTACGTAATCTTGTAGATCTTAATAGATAGATAATCTTGTAGTAACTCTAATGCGTTACTCACAATATATAATCATATATGATGAGAGGTTCGCGTTTAATTGCGCTACAATTTTAAAAACTCAAAATCTTTTCCGAACCGCTAACACAGTTTTTGTAGCCTTTATATTTTTTCAGGCATACCAATTCACCTTTTGACTGATACTTTCCAATCGAGCCCAATATAAATTTAATTTATAGTGTATTAAACATCTATTGATTTGTGTTTTCCAGGATGTCATCCGCTTGGAAACCCAATACTGGTCACTTGTAGAGATCCCAAAGCAGGAGAAAGCTGAGACAGTCCCGGTGTTCGTTCTTCGTGCTTGCGCCATAATGGAGAAGACGCAGAAGTCTGGAGAGGGAGTCAAAACATCTTCGAAGCTCGCCGAAGAAGCTGCGGACCGTAAAGAGCGAATAGAGCGTCTCAATGGTAACAACCTTCGCCTTGATTCGGGGAGACGCTGATGCCTGTAACACCGTTTATACCAGCACAGGCTTCAGTGCTTCCACACAATTGCATTAAGGAATTGACGAAAATTAAAGAAATAGTATTTTTATGACTCCGTGAGGCAGTTGCCAAAGTATTGGCTTCGGCGTCGCTGGTCGTGGTTTCGATTACCACACAAGACAACTGTGCATTTGTGCGACTCAGAGATAGTTGTTTCGCATATGGGAGTCCATACGAAATTTATGTTTGTAAAACTTCCTTACAACACAGGATAATGTCATCGTAACGTGAGGGTAATGTTTTAAAAAAAAATATTATTTTTATTTAAACATTTAACTCATACATGAAAACATTTACATATAATTTTGTGTCAATGTTCACCAAGAAGTAATGATATACTTTTCAAGTATGAAAAAACTATTTTAATCCATCCGTAGGAATATTCCATTTTAATATCAAATTTGAACTACGACATTACAGAGGCTAAAACGTTCTCCTTCAACATTGGAATGGAACAAAGACAATCATAAGTTTCCGCAGCAAGATTCGGTTCAATTACTTAAGCTTGGGTGAAAAGAATAATTTTAACATTCAGTTTGATCTAAGTTATTAAACATACATTTTTGCATAATACCTATGGCTTGATAAATTAACTAGTAATGACAATGTTAATACAAATTTGTTCCTTCCTTTGTTTTTGCAATCTTCCCAATATATTTGGTCATACCGGAAGTGAATGACCAGTATGATTTTTTCTACTTTCATTAAGTACATTTTTTTAAGTTAGGCCTAGCTAAGGCTATATTCATCCTCCTTTTGGCTGAAAACACATTCACAGATAAACTTGTATTAAACTAAATAACCTTAGATTTTAACTACTATAGACAAAAACCGAGCCAAATGAGGTCACTAATGCTATCAGAATTGTAGTCATTAAGATCTTTGCAACAACGATCGTATCGGTCTATTTAAATGAGAGTGTCCGGGTGTTCGCTTTCAATTCCATGTATTCGATAAATCAGAGTTCAAATCCCTGTGCTGATATATGACGTGGTCAGCGGTGAAGGAAAACATCGTGAGGAAACCTGGGCATTTTTTTAATATTTTCAAAGGTGTATTATCCGCCAATCTGCAATGGGGTCGCGTGCTTTACTTTACATAGTATCCCATGTACAGGGGAGGCCTTTGCTCAGTAGCGGGACATATATTTTTATAGTTTTCTTCGTATTAAGCTAGAGAGATCATAGATACATTAAAAGTCATGGCTGTTTCCCAAGTGGTGGGTAGATACAGCTGTAGTTTTCAGCGATCCTTAAAAGCTTTTATCACCTATACATCCAAGCAACACCCTCGTGTTGAAAAAGACACTTTTTGCACACGCCATTAATTTACCCGTTATCCGTTCGGCTGAGGCATTCTCTACCGACCTGGTCATTCACTCCCGCGCCAATAACGTTCTTCGTTGGACTTACTTCTCTAAAAGCCACCGAAGCATTATATTCACTAAATTTCCTACAACCTCCAACTAATGCTTGATTCTCGTTGTATTAAATTGTAAGATATCAATATTTTTTTTTTAAATAATTAAATAATAGTCAAATATAGTTTGTGTCAATTTCCAGACTTACCATATTCATAGCTAATCGAGTAATAGTCTGTCCCTTGCTCAAGCTGAAATTTAGCAACAAATCGACAAAAAAATAGAAACATTTTTATTTGCAGTATGTTCTAGTATTCGCATAATTTCAAGAAATTTTCTGTCATTCAGATTCACAGCAATGATGATTTTACTAATCACTGTAATAATTATTTATTACTTCATTATTCCATATCTTGTTCCGTATAGGTTATATTTGATTACTCACATGGCTACAAACTTGTTACATGATTCGGGACTCCAACTGAAAATTGAATGACAGATCCAATCTCAAACTTATAAACTATTATAATGAACTGTGTACTACACCGTACAGTTTCCATAAGGGCTATAGTACGTACCAGCTATGACTCTTTAAATAAAGAAGTACGTAACTCGCATCTCATTCATTTAGAATACGTCAGCTCAAAAATATATCCGTCGAAAAAATAAAATGTACATAGGAGATTGCAAATAAATTAACAAAAAGAACTGACATATTTAGCTTTAACGTTTCTTATGGCAAGTCTTTGATTCCTCTGTGATTAAAGAAGAGTAATGCTGCCTCACGAGTTGTGATTGCTGTTTTGTCTATTGTGTTTTTGTATTCGCATTCCGACGCTGGCTGGTGGCTTTGACGACAGCTCAATGTTTTTTTTGCCTCGCCTTTGATTGTCTTTTATTGTTCACTTATTGTAGCGAATGAAGATTTAAAGAATGTTGTTTGACGTTAATGACTGAAGTTATCGTTAGACATTGATGATAATATCGGAGCGGTAACATTTTGCTAAATTTGTTTTGCACAGAAGAACAGATAATACTGTATTACGGCATCTACTGTGAAAGGCAAAAAGGTTGCATAATTCATCTCAATGCGAATCCACGCTAAACGGATTCAAATTGGAGCCTGTAAGACCATTTTCTATTATTTCCGCATCAAAAATCAGACAGATGGTCCAAATCCGTACACCGCGTTACCATTTATTATTGTTAAAATCTGTTCTTTTGTGCAAATTATCCCGTCGTAAGCACGTCGTACAGAAATATTCCTTCACTTGTATTTATTAAGTATAAGTACCTTTTTATGTTTTATATTCTTATCAACATACTCCAAAACAGGAAGTTCGCAATTTGGTTGTATTTTTTTTTTAAATATTTATTACTACAGAACTACGCCATTTATGAACTGATTTTAAAAATCTTTTTGCATTTAGTTCAGCTTAAGAGTCATGTGGTCCCATATTATTTTCATTGCTTTTGGATCTTGGACTGATACATCAGGGAAGTCCTCAAAACCAAAAAGAAAATAAATAATGAGATATTTGAAATTGTTTTTTATTTTATCAATAAAATTATACTTGTATATCCTATATCTAAATATTCCAGATATGACGACATCTCAAATAGAAGCAGAAAACACTCAAATGACCAATGACCTCTATCGTCTGCTGAAAAAGTATACCGGCTTGAGGAATCTCATTAGGGAGCTGAAGGTAATAGTTTTATAATGATTGTTAAACTTTACTAAATAGTATTATTTAGACTATTAAAGTTTTAAGTTGTTTAATAAGTCAACGCTTTTTTCACGGCGCCAAAAGAAATAGCGGTGAAGCAAAGACTGCCTCGCTTGTACTGACTTACTCGTGTTTAACGCTGTTCAAAGCCAATTTCTTAAGCAGTTTCAAACAATCGCATAGCTTCTTAAACAAAAACACCTGAATTTCTCCTTTCTGAAATTCAATCCACAACACTGCATTTATTTAAATGTTCATTTACAACAAGGAATGTTTTCATTAAATAAGGACAAAGCATTAAATAAAGAGAAAAAAACTTTCACTGCGTATACAAGGAAGTCTCAATGTAGTGTCACTACTAAAAAATTTGGAGTGTCCTCATACTCTTTATGGCATAGGTAGGTTTTGACGAAAACCTGTTTTATTCGAGAGGTGAATATATCTATAACTGCAGTGCTGCAATGGAAGGGGAAATCTTAATAAATAAAATAAAATAAAACTATACGGAATATGATAATAAAGGACATACTCGTAGGTAAAGCATGAAACGTCTTGAGATAGAGTTAGTTGATTGAGAGGTTATTGTTTTTTATTTAGTTTTTTTTTGTGTGCGTCCTTTTTCTGGTAAATAAATTTCTTTCTTTTCTTTTTCTAGAGTGTACTGTGTTAGAGTTGAAGATTTAATTAATAGCACTCTACTGTACAAAAAGACCAGCTCGGACGGAACGACCGAAAAATAGCGTATAAAAATTATTTAAATTTAATTTTTGTGCTTTTCGTTTGTACTAACTATAAGGCCTGTAACTATCGCCTGTCTCTATGCTGAAATAATGTTCAAAAGCGCAATAATCACGACACAATGCATCACAACAAAACATCTCTGGTGTTACCGGTGTCCATGGACAGCGGTCCTCACTTGCCATCTGCTGGATAGATTTTTTACTTGCAATACCATTGGAATAAAAAATCTTGATTGTGAAAAATCGTGAAGTGGAAGTATGAAAGGGCCAAATTTTTATGAGTTTGTCGATGCATCTGCAACCCCATTCAAGTCAGGTGTTTTTGATGTCCATGCAATCGTTTCACATAAAAAAAATATAATTATGTCACTAAAGAAGTCTTCTAACAATTACCAAATACTGTGGTAGGGCCACGCAACAGCCTCGGCTGTGGCACGAATGGGCAGGCTCGTCCGGGTAAGTACCACGACCTGAAAGAAGACCGGCGTGAAGTGAAAGTATAATACATTCGCGTTTCGTCTGATGAGTGAGGTAGCCGGAGCCCAATTTTGAAAAAGGTCTGCGCCTCTGCAAACCCTGTGCAATATGAGAGTATGCTACCAATCAAAACGGACACTCATTTCAGTCGGAGTACGTGAGCTCTAAAATGTACCCGATGTTCCCGCGGTACACGATGCTGAAGGACATGATCAAGGACATAATGCACGACCCCGATTACATGGAGGTCTGCCACGAGGTGGACCCGTAGCGCGGGGTGCGCAAATAAATGAGGGGCTCATTCACCGACCGCCAGAGGTCGGGCCGCCGCTAGCCGCGGGCAATCGCTTGGACGGAGCTGGATGGTCTCATCCACGCTACTTCTTCCGGCTGCGTCCACTTCGGTTGCCGTTTCTACGCTTGATGTGTCGCCCGTGTCCAACGCTTCGGCTTTTTAGTGTGGACATGTCTGTCCGTAGGATCTGCATCTATTAAACTTCGTAGTCTTTCTCCATAAGATCTGCATCTAATTAAACCTTAGGAGTCGTCCCCACAACATTTGGAAACTTGTCTGCGAAACTAACTTCTTGTCTATTACCGTGTAGTTACTTCTTTATATTTGATGTAATGACTTATCATACTATAGCTTAAAGTATTCTTCATCGTACGCCTTTTCGTAGTTTACCCGCTTTCTGGACTGTTCTTCCTAACTAAAAAATAGCGTTTACGTCAAGCAGAAGAAAAGGGAAAACGGCGGCGTCTTACTCATTTATTTTGCGCTCGTTTGGCGAATAGACTGTTCCGTTGAAATACGCATAGATGTAAGATTCCTTGGTTCAGTGTTAATATACACCTTGAAGTGAATATGTGTGAAGTGTTTGCTCGTGGGAGACAAGACAAATGTTAGCCCAATATCATAGTGTGCGGGCGCTAGAATTCGCTACCGGTTTTTGTAACTCATGAAAACTGTCAGATGTGCGCTGATGTTATTATTTCAATAAAAATCTGTAACTTATAAGGCTATTCTTTTCTATTACTTTTTAAATAGCTGTAACTTATAACTGATGTGAATTTATTTTGCCATGCCACTTTAAACTAGAGCACAATTATGTGATAGAAAAAGTAAGGACTCATGTTTTAATCCATTAAATTGATATCTCAACATTCATATCAAATACTACTATTATAATAGTTATTTAACAAAACATATCTGTTATGAATTTCAAATAACCACGTCATCATATCTTCTATACTCTTATTCTATATAATTAACTTTTGCCTGAGCATCTTTGTGCGCTTCTAAATAATCTATTTATGAATTTGTAGTTGTAATAAATGTGCAAATGTAAAGAAAATATGCCAATGTATGTGTTCAAATGTGTATTAGAGTTTGAACTATATTTATAACATATTTAATGTATTTAAACGTATGCTGATTGACTTATAAATGATCCTTTAGAATGAGTTTCTCATACGTTTTTGATTGCTTTTTCGATTTTTTGTAATAAGGTACTTAATAGAACTAATGATTGATTATTTCGACTATCCTAATGAATGTTACGTGTTGTTCGCTTTCTGTAAATTTAGTACGAAACAAGTTATCTTGTTTTATCTTTAAAAATCAAGTAACATGTTTATTATCAGCAATAATAGCTTTTAACGTATATGTATTGTTTTTAAAGTGTAGGTTTTCCTCTCTATTGTATTGTGTACCTATTATCTTCTCATGTAATAACTTTATCTGTGTGTTCTGATTATAAGATATATTACTTACTGTAGTCAATATCAATTTCTGTAAAACAGTGACTGTTAATGGTTTTGATGGGTTTTTACCGCATTTATTTTAGAGCCATCTGGTGTAAAAATGATGGTAACTCTACATTCGAATAAGAATGGTGAAAAAATTTGGATAAGAGAAATCTTTCAGAACCATTAATTTGTTGGAACTTTTTTATTTTTCTTTGTTGACACTAGTCCTAGACTTCTAAGAAATCATACGTGTAGTTGGATATTCATAATTTTTACTAGGTACATATCTAAAACTTTTGAAAGCTAATAGTGAGGCTAATACAGTAGATTAGAATTTAGGGTTGAAAATTAATGTGAAAACTTCTATAACATACATTTTAGAACCGGTATTTAATGAAATAGTGTATACAAGTATATGTGTAGTAAATGAATACATTGACGGCATTTCAAACTTTTTATAGTTTTCTCAGACTCGAATGTATCGAAGCATGAAAGAGAGAAGCTTGATTTTGAACTGAGACCATTCGGAGGCTTTTTAATACTGACGTCGTCATAACATTACAAAGCTAATTTAAAAAAATGCAAAAGCAAAGATATTTGTATCAAGAATTAGGAATTTGATAAAATATGATATTTTAATTAATTATTAATTATCATTCATTTAGACAAATCAAGTAAGCAAATGCATAAAATTATCAATTATTTTATAAGGAAAGTATTAAGCACTTTCCAACTATTATACAATTATAACTTACATGTAAAATATTGTTGTATTAATTTGCTCATTTGGAAGCTGCAAATTTTTGGAGTATTTTATATTGAAAGAAAATACTGCCACTAGATTAAGTAATTACACCTAAGAAGTCATATTTTAAATGTTTACATTGTTAATCATGTTATAATTTACATTGAGGTCTCTTCGCCCAATTCTAGTGTGTGTAATCTCTCCTTTCGTATGGATTTTGTTAAAATGTTTAATCACAACTTATTTTAATTATGTATGATAATTTTTTGATAAAAAATTGTTGACATCCTTCTTCGATGCATTTTATGAAGACAAGCTGTACTCAACTTTTATGCTTTATAAATTGAGTTCTTGTCTCTTTACATTTCATTTTGCCCATTACAAAAAGTTGTATATCTATGATTGATGTTGTAAAACTAAATTTTAATTCATTTAGTATGGTAAAATAAATATATGTATGTCGTGAAAATATTTTACAGATTTGTTGCAGAGCATTGTAAATTGTGAGATCAAGGTTGAGAATATTCGGAGACGAGAACGATTGCGATGATAGTTTTAATGAACGTAAAAGAAGCTTTGTTATATAAAATGTAATAATATATAATTTGTGCTACACAGCGTTTCATTTTTTAACATTCTCACCACTAAATATTGTATTTACAATGAATATCTCATTGTAAATTATAAAATAAATTGTATCATACATAATTAGTAGCAACTACACTCGGCATTGTCTGGGACATTAGTTTTATTTTTATCTATGTAACACAGACAATATTTCATTCAGCATGTTTAATGCCACATTTAATACAAACCTTGGTCCGATAAAAAATTCTGAAATGATCATAACTTGGTTACAAAATTGATACAGATTATAGAATAATGCTTGGTGCTTTTCTGGATCGCAAAACTGTTTACCGTTCGCGTTTAATTTGTCAAATATTCCTATCTTTGAACGTCTGTTTTTATTTGTCCAAACCTTGAAGTCAGTCCGAGAGTCGAGGTTTTCTTTAAGAATCACATAAGTTCCTACATACTTTCGTACGTTTACAAACGGCATAGATAGTTTAATAACTATATTATTTAGATTCTACCCAGTCTTATATCCCGTATGAATATAAAACTGTAAATGAATGCGATAAAATCCTTAAATTGAACAACACGGGGCTAGATAAAATTATCTGTACCTGTGTCTAGCGATGAGAAGGAGACGACTTGTTTATTTGAACATCTTACTGAGGCCGCTGACGTGGTCTTCCAGCACTAACCTGCTACACAGCTAGTCTAGCTAGGGACTTCAACGTCTATCTCCAAGACTAACTATTCACCACATTCCCGAAGACTAATTTTCAATGCTGGCAATGAAGCATGAAACATATATAAAAACATGCTATATACCTAGTCCACGCAGGTAAAGCAGACGACTGTCCCGTGTGGGAATCGAATCCACCACCCCCGGTGCCGAAGCCAATAGCAACTGCGCTATTGAATCAGAAAGAAACAGTAAGTAGTAAAGAATTTGTAGAAAAAGTACGAAAAGATTGTCGCCGCTGTGGGAATCGAACCTACATCTTCGGCATTCGTGGCCTGACTGGATGCGCCAAACACTGCCAAGCTACAAATTTTAATGTACAATCTTAAGTGCAGAGATTAGCACTACAACAAATTTAAAAAAAAAAGTAGTGAAGAAGTTAGTATAACAAATAAAGAGATCCCAAAAGCCATAAGAGGCCAAGGTTTGAAGAAAGCCTGGGAACTGGACAGTAGGTATAGGTACTAGCGATAAACACGACTGTTCCATCTCTCATTATTTGAGCTTTCGGATTTCGCGTGGCGAGTGAAGCGTTGAGAGCCCACGGCAACTTTAACAGATTTCCAGAAGCTGGTTACATCAAGTGAAACAACTGAATAAAATAGAATAGAATAGAAAATCTTTATTGATCGTACACAAACACCGTTAACAAAAAAAAAAGAGAACAAAATACCTAATTTACATATAAATACAATTAATAATTTTCCTAATATCGAATAATGAAAATAAATACAAAGTCGGTGTATGCGACGACCAAAATGTAGTCAGCTCAGCATAATGCTACGGTTGAGGTAGCGCTGATTTTCAGCTGACGCCTACGAAAGTGAGTCACGGACAATCTGGATGCCTAGTAGAATTAAAAAAAATATAAATAAATAAATATATATATTATGTAAAAAATATATATTTATATGATATACATACATATATACATACACACACACACACACATACATATACATTTCACCATTGTTGTATACTGCGTAACTTGTGTAACTGCTCGTTTACCAGTTTATTTCGTAAGAAAGAAAATTTGAATATCAGTGCAGAGCCTTATACTTTTTTTTCACTCCGCATTTTATAATGTCAGCAATAGCGATTCCACAAGAGCCGCCATAGATTGTACACACGCCACGCATCAGCCTCTGTTTAACTGTTACATGAATGAGCCGACTCATCTGGGCAAGTATCACAGCCAAACAGAAGAGCAACGAGAAGTGGAGGAACCATTCTTTTGCATTTTGTCAGGTACGAACTGGTAAGCTTGCGCACTCTTTTTAAATATTGGCGGCGTATCTGCAGCCACAAGAGTATACATGTCCATCGTCGGCGTCATTTCGGTCATTATTTCATAAATGACAACGTTCATGAACGCCTACTACAAATTCCGCTCCAGTAATTTTGTTAAATTAGGATACACGCATTAAAAAAAAGAAATTGTGAATACGATTTTATAATGCTTGTTGCCTAAATTATTGTACACACAGTTAATTTATCAATAACTTTTCTACAAATTTTTCATTTCGTCTTATGTAAGCAAATTGAGTACTATACAAATCAATATAATTAAAAAAAAATCAGAGTCAGTTTTAAGATTAGATAATTTCTCAAAGGCGCAGTTATAGGAACCCGCACTAGATACATGAAATGCCCCTTGATTTAAAAAGTTTAATTTAATTATTAAATGAGACTATTCTACCGATTTTAACGGTTTTAATTTTGTTATAAGTTCCCATTAAGTTTAACACTCTCAACGTTCTTGATTATTCATTTTAGCCCGATTTAAACTAGTTTAGGTAGTCATAAGTATTTAATCTAATTTTTAAAACTATTCTTTATTTTTAAAATGTTTAATGAAATTATAAATTTTCAATTCAATTAATATCCAAAAGAGTATAAACGCCATCTAGAGAAAGCTGTACTTACTATAATAAAACACGTTAAAATAAAATGTGGGCACTACCAAAATGCAAGTATTTTTCCTAAAAGACGACAGATGTCGCAAATATAAAATGTTTTATAGTGTTGTCACATAATGAACAATTCCTTAAATGTATGATATAATTGTATTACCTAAATTATAACCTGATAACCAGTGCATTTATTATGATTTAAAGCTACCGAAATAATATGTTATAGAACAAATAATGACGATGGAATTTTTTTTTTCAAATAAATAATCATTTTATTCTGAAAAATATAAGGTTAAAACAATTCAGACAGTGTGAATAATACAACTTTATACTAAAGTTAAATATTAAATTCGTCTTTTTCGTATATAATGCGTTTTCTTGTATATATAAATTATAATATAGGCAAATATGACGAGCACATGGTAACCCGACTGTGCTTGCACGTCGTACGAGTATGGCTTTATCTTATATTGTACTCATTCATTTCATTCGGCCGGGTAAAGCGGTCCGAGTGTGATGTGTTTGATAGTGCCTGTTATGGCGGGCTCTCGTAACTATGAAAAGTTTCCGTAAAACTTTTCTGCTTTACTTTTATGAACGAAAACTCATACATCTTAACTGAATCATTGCAAAAACTGCTACAAATAATTAAAAATACCGCTGTTTAGTGAAAGTTCACCGGTCAGGATGTCGGTTAATTCAAAGTGGCGGTTACCTGACGTTTTTTGTGTTGTGTGTTGAATGGAAGACGGAATTACGTATAATTCGCGGCACGGGAATGGGTGAATAAGTGGTACGAGCGATCTTGGGACTTCTTTCGACATGCCTTTCGTGCAGCGTGCTGTAGAACCGAAGTTTCTCTCGCGGACGAGTTTGCGAGATGATAATGGAAGGCCCAGGGTTACGGACGAGGAACTTCAAGCCGTTACTAATTGCACTCTTAGCAACGCGCTTCGCCAACTAGCTTCTTTAGTGCTATTAGCGGAGGATATCTTCAACGATTTAACGTGCCAACTTCAAGGAATAACAGAACGCTCCAAAGCCGCTCAATTGAGGATCGAGAAAATTAACGAAATCGTTGAGAAGTATGACCCGAAGAAAGTGCCAGTTCGTAAGTACACAACAAGCTTTCAACACCTACATACATAGATGTAAGCATAGTTACGGTATCAGGAATGTGCCAATAGAATTTACAAACATTTATAACGTGAACTACCGGAGTGCGTTTAAGCGGTGAACCCTTTAGCTTACGGTTTGTTTATTAGCATAACACATTAGCCGACCTTGCTTCGTTCACACTGAGCTGGTTCTTTGTTTTTTCTGGTTAGTGTATTTTAAAAACGATAGTTCTGCGAAATGATGCAAACTATAACATACATTCCGTTTACTACCGTCGTAAAATACTCAATACCTTCTCATTTTTTAAAGGTTATCATTTCAAATTAATATTATTGAACTTTCGTACCGGTAAACACATATTTTAGATTATTTAGCCGTCACCAAAGCGCGAACTCACTCTCTTATCTTTTTAATTACATCGGCGTAAGAAAATTTGGATCGGCCCGAATTAGTTGAATGAAATAGAATTAGGTAAACGTCGTAAATTATGTTGATTGTGTTATCAATGTATGTTGTCGGCTCTACTTTAATAATGCCGGATAATTCCCGGTTTATAAAAACAGCTCATAACTCTTCAAGACAGAGCAAAGTTTTGTTCATGTTTTTGCAACTGCAAATTTTGATCGTATTTAATGCAACCAACAGTCCGTACACTCGATAAGCAGTTGTATTTTATAACCACTCATTTATGGGGATTATCTATCTTATACTAACTCATCTACGATCGGAAGATACCTGAGGTAGGTCATTTAATCGATACCCACAGTGTTGTTATAACTTTAACCGCACTGTACGTGGAGCTATTATACTCATCTTAGAACAGCTCGCATCGAGATCGGCTCATTGAATTAAACTCATTACATCCTCCTTGAATGTGCCGCCGTCACAAAAACATTCCAGGTTGATGCATTACAGGGCGTTATCTAAAAACCTGTTTCGGCGCTCCGTCGAACCCGCAATGGGAAAAAACGTCCAGATTCCAAAGCGGACCATAAAAACGACTCGGCACCAAGATAATTTCGAGCGCGCCCGTGTCTCGAGCGGTTCGAACGCACGCCTTCCGAGGAGCCTAAGCACTCTAAAGTCAAGATTACGAAACTAATCTTTTACTTTAGTTTAAGACTCACATTTAAGGCCCATAAGTAAAGGTCGTCCCGACCTCAGCATTCACTTGACAGATAACACTGTTCAACTAGAAGATAATTCAATAATCTCTCGAGTATAAAATAATTGTTGATTAGTTTACATAGAAGGGTACTATTTAATGTTTATTAAACACGTACATTTAAGAAATAATAATGTTTTTTCATAAACATTAACCCTGATTTATCAATATGAAATAGATTGAAGTAACAGACACAACTTACTGTTTTGGTACGTAAATAGAATCCTCGCAGATAAAATAATAAACAATCGCTGTAGATAACATCGGGCTAACTTCTATCGTGAGATGTATGCAATTATTATCCATCAATCTTGATCGCAAAAGTCCCGTACAAAAATACTTATATTTAATAAACTTATAACATTAGAAAGCGGAATTTTTGTAAGAGTTAATGATATCTTGTCTCGACGCGATTACTTACTGATGGATGTTTTATTCATATGTAGTAATCGGATCAACACAAGAAACCATTTGATGGATTTTATCGCTTTTATTTTATTCAATTCCTTACTGGACCATCCATGAACGCTGTAGTGTCTGTAACGTCTCTGAGTGCCGGCGTTAGCTAAATTGTTCTCATCGAAGCGGCAATACTTGAATCCTATCAATAAAAAGCTTGCCGATTCGACTTCGCTCATTACTCAATTGACCCCTATTAGTCTTGATATCACTCGTATATCGCTTGGGTGTTTTTAAAGTTATAATTACGAGAAATTCGGAACGTCATCTGTCAAGTCTCTTTTATGCACTACGCCGATGTAGAACATTTCAATTGAAATTACTATTTTAGGAATATTTTTTTATTGTTATACTAGTATCTGCACTCAAGATGAAAGTTTTTAAATTGAAAATTTTTCTAGATAAATTGAGAACAAAAAGTAAGCGAAACCACAGACACAGGTTCGAATCCCGCAGGGCAAAAAGTTTTTTTTTTCATTTATCTACAAAAAAATTCTGTTGTAATTACTACTAATTACTATTCAATATAGCATTGCTAAATTTATATGTGAATTTATGGTCTAAATCGCTATTATACTTGTTCTCGCAATAAGAAACATTTGCCACTACTCAGTGCGTTTATGAGACGCTTTTTAAAGTTCATTAATGTAAACTCCACAGTATATATAATATGGTTAATTATATGTTCGCATAGGCCTAGCTAATATTGTTACTCTGTTGTCTGACACGGTAATAATTGAAGAGTCCCGTCGTACAATTTCATCAGACGCCTGTGTGATGCTTTGAATTACGTCATCCATTTATTTTTTGCGTTTCACGTTCCTTTTCGTCTGGTTTTGCAAAGAGAGAGAGTTTTGGGCATTCGCCTTAATCCTACTCAGAGCTTCCATGTCGCAGTGTTTTTGATTGCCGTTTTTGTTTATGATTTGTTCAACGAAACCTTGGATGTAAAGAGTTTACCGTTACATCTGTTAAGACCGATCGAAGAAAAGCACGAATCCGATGTCCATCATTTGTGTTGTGTTAAGAAGTTGGATATTTACTTTCTTTGCTATTATACATAGTTGCATGGTATGTGTAGCTTGTGATTTGTATATGACAATATAATATTCTTTTCACATTTAATGCGAGGCTTTATGTTAGAGAAATAATCATATATTACTATGTCTATATCTTTGTATCCTCTGCAGTCGTATTTACGTCCATTTCTTAAACGTACGCACTTTCTTTTCGCGGGAACGACTGGTCATCTCATTTTTAGCGAGAAGGCCTTTCGGAAATTTTTAATTATAAACCTTTTTACGCGCTTTAAAAAGTTATTGAGCACTCGAAAAAGCGTTAAAACCTAACATCAAACAAAAACAATCAGCGGTTAATGTGCAAATGATATTGTCGGACATTAAAAGACTTCTGAAATTGAAATGTTTCTGCAGAGATTTTTAACGAAATGAGATTGTAATGTCTCTTGTTAAACATAAAATACTTTCGGACACAGTCATAAACTCATTGGAATATATAAAAATGTAATAAGTTTTTAAATACGTTGTTTTGTCTGGTATCACTGGTTCAAATACAGAAAACTTGCATCATTGGTTTGCATTGTTGGATTCCTTACGTCTAGAAATCACCCGTCCTCCATTTATCGCCCGTTTAGGGTCACATGCTAACTCGAAGACACCAGTTCTGCTATATTCCATTTTTTAAGTGAAGTGCCATTTTTAAAGTAGCAAGCGAGCAGGCGGTTCACCTGATGTTTAGTGATTACCGTTGCCCATGGACAATGGACATCTACTATGTTGGGTTGCAGATGCGTTGCCAACCATTAAAAACGGCCATGTGTCCCAGTTACCATACTCACTAGATGAAACGCTAGTCTTTAAGGTTGTGGTACTTCCGCCTTTTTTTCCGTGGGAAAAAATCCTTTTTGGATCCCCTACCACTGGATCGGGGGAGTGGCAGGGGTATTTGGGAGTCCTGGAGACGGGTACTTAAAAACCCACGTTGCACCTATCTCTGTCGCATCGGCTTCATCTTCTTCCTCATCTTCTTAATGGTCCCATACTGGTGCAATTGGCACGGCACCCCTCACGAACCCCATATTGAGCGACAGACACTGCCATGTCTGCCGCTTCCATGGAAGAGCCTGCCCATTCGTGTAACAACAGTAGTTGCTGCGTTTTACTACCACTGTTTCCCTCTGAATCATGTGACAGCTTAATGCATTAATGCAAATGCACTGGCGCAGCCATCCGTGTTGCCTCGTAGTGCGGCCGGGACTGAAAACCAGTGTTGGGATCGGAACAATTTTAGATTCCGTTTCTCGATTTTTACAAAGTCCCGTCCATTTTACGGTGTTATGCTTGCTATACAGACTACCTTTTTTATATGTTTTCATTTCCTCTACACAATATTATTTCACGTTCTGTGTTATTCAGTTATTGTTTAAATTTGTTATCGATATCTATTGTGGTTAGAACGTGAATAAATGTGTTTCTTTCTTTCTTTCTTTTCTAATTACTCTTAACAATAGGATCCTCTTTATTATTAAAAATGAATCCCACAGTCAACATTTACTGTATTGCGAGATGTTTCACAAACACGATATCAGGAACACAAACTCTAAAGTTGGTTATATAGTGCACTTTCTTCCGCGTGAGTTTCGAATCCACAACAAGGTGTGCATAGCGGTTGGTAAGCTGACACCGAAATAATCATACTGTGCTGTCAAAGTAGATATAGTAGGCATGATTTTATGTAAAACTGGTCGGTTAATATCGTTTGTCAATAGCTAATCGATAAACCGGTCGATTGGGTATTGACAAACGATTCTTCGGGACGGACGCATCTACGGAACTAATGATGTCGTTTTATATATACTGTATAGAAAATGAGGCTGCTTTACCGCTAGAGTGGTGTGGGCCTTTAATATATTCACAGGGGAAGGGCCAAGGCGGATTACGAGCGGTCGAATTTACGACTAATCTTCCTTTACCGGTCGGTCACCGAACGTCGGGCGTGTGGAGATGACTTCAATCACATTTGCTACTAAACCTGTAGCTCTGAACGAATCGGCGTTTAATTTGTGCTCACCGCGAACGTGTACGCGAATCGGGTTCGTTGACCGATAAGCCGCTTATCAGTTTTCTTTGTAGAAACGTCGCTAATGCGGCAAACAGCTATAACAACGGCGAAGAAAGTATGGTAAAAAGCATTCGAGTATTTGTATGATTAACGGGCGAATCTCGAAGACGTGGGTTCGATTCTCACAGCGGAAAGAAACTTTTCGTTCCTTTTTTCTACAAAAAAATTAATAACAGATATTCGCTACGGGTCTGGTGTTTGTTTGTCCAGTTCGTGTTTGCAAATCCCCTCTACAACACAGGGTTATCGTAACCTACATTAGGGGTAATATTTTTAACAAACTGGGCTGTTACGTAACGGTACTAATAAGTAACCGGGTAAATACTTTCTACGATAAATAATGTACTCGCTTATGTTCTACATTTCAGGTCATTGAAGCAGCTATGTTTTGCCGTTATCTTGGATAATTCGTCGTTCAGATACGGATAATTGTAGTAATTATATTCGATCGAACATTTTCATAGCGGCTTGCAGTGATTATTACATTGTCTTCATTATTCGGCATTCTCTCAATATCGTTATTATAATCAAATATCCCTGAATATAAAATAAAGTTCAAGACATTTAATTGGTTCGTGCTTAGTTAGTGTATTTGTGAGCCAACGACTAAAATAGTTGGCAGAATCTTTTTTTTTAATTAGGGTATTTAAACATGCTGTTACGATGATAGTGAGGATCGCTCCCCATAGACAATCCAGAAGTACACTCTATTTATTCACACATATATTTATGTAAATACCATTTATGATATTACTTAAGTTATTGAATTAAACTGTTTTGAATACTTTACAGCAGTTAATATGTGGGGTCGGCACAACATGCTTTTCCTTCCACATAGAGCATTTATATTCATGGGACAGATTGTAAGAAATTATTATTATGTTACTAGTCGGGGATTCTGCATGAAGTAACCGTCTTACAATTGAATTCATGGGTGTATGAAAAATACCTTGACCAACCATGTCTTATGTAACTCATCCAGGCCATATTGTAGAGTCAAAATTCCTTCGTTCAGGAATGGCGGTCACCGCTCCAAAATATTTGAATAAACAACACCGTATATGCCTTCAGGTAAAACAAAGGGAGCACTTTACTGAACTGTAAGAAGAAATATTTACAACGTCTCTCTTGTTCGCATCGGAATTCCTTAGTTAAGAACTTCTTAATTGGAACCACTGATTGATAGAGAAGTGTAAACAAACATTTAAAATTATTATGAAAACAAGT